TTTTTTGTGCACAGACTAGGATATTAGAAATAGGTACCAAAGTTATCACTAAATTTTGGTATGTACGGTCGGAAGATGGGTTAAACAAGCTTATTTTACTGTTTCAGCCGAATCGAGTAGTTGGGTACAGAACAGAGTCAAAACTTTTCCTGTTTTCAACTGGAAAAGGTCTGACTCTGTTTTCAGTCAATTTTTGGTCTACTTAACACTGTTGGCCGACTGTCGGTAATGTGTCGGTAACTTGTAGGCTGACAGGTTATCGACAGTTGAAAACAGTAACCATTGTTCACTATTACCCCTAAAAGTAACAATTTTTGGCGAAAGTGATTGGAAAGGTGTATGTTGGACAATTTTTGGGAGAGGCCTTTAACAGAATCAAGTGCTCAAGCAGAGTTGCCGAGTTTTCAATAGAATGAAGCAGAGTTGTTCACTTGAATCTAATGGGGAATTCTGTTGAGGTTTTTTGAATTGCTAGTTGCTGAGAGTCACCAGCAACACTCCTTTTAAGAACTATTCTCAATCTGAAAATCAGACCACAGTGTCAACTATTACTGCTGGTTCAAACCATGTTGTGAGTTCCAAAGTATGGTAATATGTCTGTGCCTGACTCTGATGCTGACCTGTGCTTATTTAGTTAGATGAATTGTCAAAACAAAACAGCAAAACAAAACTCAAAACAGCACTCTCGTCTTAGAGAAACAAATTAAAGTTTTCTTTCAGTAAAGACAGAAGTTAATTATTTTTTGATCACTCCTTTGCAGGTTCCTCTGAGAGGGTAAAGAAGACTTCCAAACGACTTCGACTATCAGATGACAAACTAACATTTGCAGGTGCTTTTTTGTTTTAAATTGCCTCTTTCTTTATGTTCATTAAGTAGCTCCCTAAAGGAATGCTTTTTATTTTTTAAGCTATTAGAACACCAGTTTTCTTCCCGATTGTTTAAATGGCAGGGTCCATTGCTGGGGTTATTTTTAGCTATTGAGTAAGAAATCAATCCAAGATATTTGCCATTTTTGTCTGAAATTGTGGATGATTTGTTTACCCTGTTACATCTGACAGGCTTTTTTAAAGTAGATTTCATTGTTAAGCAAGGATTTCAATAAAAGCTGGTTATTTATCAATCTGTAAGACCTCTTACCACAGTCTGTTTAGCCAGAGGGCAGATCCGCGTGTTGGGGTTTCGCCTTCCAGTTCCTTTTAGGGGCACAGCCGTCTTTTACACCCTTGGTAGCCAATAATTTCTGGGAATTTAACATTAGGCATTTTTAAATTCTAATGGTCCATGCTTACGCTTAAAATGTGAACTTAATATGTTAGTTATTCTTGTTAATTAAAATCACACACAGTAGGCTTGGGCCACCTGTGGCTATACTGAATTTTTTTTAGTAATGATAGTTTTACTTTGTGTTTGTTCAAGATTCCTCTGGTAGCTGTTGGCGATCTCCATTTGTAGAATTCCATCATTTACCATTTCCTGTGAACCCGCAGGTTTACAAAGAATCCAGAAGACATGACCAGAGTAAGTAGATGAATCACAATGATTTTCAGTGTCATCAAGTGTATTAGTCAATGAGCAACAGCTGCTACACGTGTGTTTTCTTAATTTAAAGGACTGTTTTACTCTTCTACCAGTTCTTGCTCCTGTTTATTACAACCTGGTGTTATCTTATAAGTCAGTTCCTTAATGTATAACCTTTCAATGAAGCTCAAAAGCAGAGTATCAGAGTGCAAACCCAAAGTTCTGGAGTTTAATTCCTTGTTAGAAACTGACATGTTTTTATTTGTCTGGCACTCATTGCAGAAAAAAACAGGTCTTCAACTTTTCAGGTGGATGAAGCAAATACAGCGAAACAGTTGTCTCAGATAGCATAAAATAAGTCTTAGTCTTTGGGATTTATTTGTTCATTTGGATTGCTTTTGTTTTTTNTGATTGGTAAAGAACCAATCCTTATTTAACAACTTTTACACTTAAACACTTTCAAAATTTCTCTTTCGAAAATCGCAGCATTCACAAGAAAATTTGACCAGAGTCGACTGTTTTAAGAAGATTAGAGATTAGATAGGTTCACTGACCTTTTTTATTTAATTTTTTTTTATTTTTGATTTTAGGTCATTATCTTGATACTGTTATCAGGGTTATCAAAGACGAGTACAACAGACGATCTCAGCTAAAACCACTGCTTTGGGAGAGTACAATTACGTTGCCTCTTGAAGATGTTTACACAAGATTGAGAATTGTTTCAAGGGGGAAAAGAGACTTTCAATTAGAAAATAGTGAGGTGCACATGTATGATGTCTTTAAAAGTGAGGGTGATGTGATTGTGCTTGTAGAAGGAAGTCCTGGAATTGGAAAGACAACATTCTGCCTCAAAATAGCCTATGATTGGGCTCATGACCGCATTCCTAAGGAGTTCAACTTTCCACAATTTGAAATTGTCTTATTGCTGAAATGCCGGGATATTGTTGGAGACCTATTCGAAGCCATTACTGAACAACTGTTACCTAAAGATACTCATGAATGCTTCCGCAAAAAACTTATGGAGTTCATCAAGGATTTTCATTTTCAACCTAAAGTGTTGATAATTCTGGATGGTCTGGATGAGCTTTCAAAAGAATCTAAAAGCTACGTGGATGACTTACTCCTTAAAAAGGTTTTACGATTTTGCTATGTCTTGGTTACAACTCGCCAGGAAAGAGGAATTGCTGTACGACAGAAGGTGAACTTTGACATGCTTTTACAGATTGAAGGCTTTACAAGGAAAGATGCCTTTGATTATATCAGAAAGTATTTTAACAGTGCTGGTTCTGAGCATGTATCCACTGGAAAGAGACTTATCATACAAATCAAAAAAAACTCTTTACTTGATGCGCTGTGGAACAATCCTCTAAACCTGTTACTCCTTTGCGTTGTGTTTGAGGACTGCCAGGGAGAACTGCCATCTTATCGCACTGAACTTTACCAGATAATTGTTTGTTGCATTCTACGGAGATATTGTGCCAAGCATGATCTAGAGGCTCCTGTTGATGACAGAAATCTAGTGAGGCTCTTTGAAGATAGTTTGCTAGTGCTTGGAGAGTTAGCCTGGAGATGCTTGGAAGAAGATCGATTTTCTTTTCGTGAAGAGGAGTTGGCAGAATTTGAATCTGCAATTGTAAATCTAGCAGCCCGGGAACTTGGTCTTGTGTTCAAGGAAGCCAGCTTAAGGAAGATTAACCCACAACATGAGTATTTCTTCTTTCACAAGACATTTCAAGAGTATCTGGCTGCATTTTATTTAGCTAACAAGCTATTGATAAAAGAGGTTGATTTTTCTGAGTCGCATTTACACTTTTACGATGATATTACAGAGAGGTACAGACAAGTGTTCATCTTTATGTCTGGCATACTGGGTGAGGATGCTCGTCTTCTTTTTGAACAGATTGGCAAGAAGCTAAAGAAACAAAACTGGGACTGGCACCAGTGCGCTGAAAAAGAGGCCACTTTCTTTCTAGAATGTTTCAATGAGAGTAGAAATGATGAACAAGTGGCAATAGCTCTTTCCTCCTTTATTCCGTTTCCACAGACCATGACCTTTGACTTATCATATGAGGACACACCAACAGATGTTTTCATCGTTTTAAAAGCCTGTGAGAGTTTTTCACAGTTGCAACTTCCTGTTCATCTTGCACTAGAGTGTTCTAGGTGGGATATTTATGCCAACCTAGATGGTGACGCACTAGCTGACATCATAGCATCCAACACACAGCTACAAACACTTTCCTTTTCTGGTTCCGTTTCAGAAGAGATTACAGCTCTTTTGTGTAAAGCACTCGCAGTAGACTCTACTTTACATTCCTTTACACTTGAGACAACTGAATGGAAATCTTCCTGTGAAGTTGTTGCTATCAGTGACAGCATGGCTGCAAATAAAACCCTAACAACTGTAACTTTAAAATTGCCTTATGAGATGTTAAAGATTTGCATAGCCATACTTGACAAGGGACTATCTGCAGATATGCCACGTACATCTCTTGTACTCGAGATTTTTGGTTCATGGAGGGAAACTGAAGCAAAAGATTTCAAAGAGATTTTATTGAACAGATCACTTACGTCTCTGAGCCTTACTCTGTTTGGAGACATGCAAGATTCAGTAATGACTTGTGTTAGTGAGGGACTTGTGGCAAATCCTTCACTGCAGTCTCTTGCACTGACATTTTATGGAAAACTCAGCAACACTAGTGTGGCTTTGTTAAAGGATGGCTTTCTAGGAAACAGGTCTTTGGAGTCTCTGGAATTAAAAGTGTTTGGTGAGCTTCCTACAAACTGGGCAAATATTTCTAGGACTCTACACTCTGCAATAAAGTCAACTGCGTCCTTTACAGTGCATCCAAATGTTACTGGCATGGTAGGAACTTCACAGGTGGCTTGCCTTTGCCCAGTTCTGAATGAAAACCTTTTAGCTTCAAAACTCCACTCATTGGCTGTCAACATCTTGGGAGAGTTAGACTGCAGTGGAGCAAATGATCTTTGCAAAGGACTGATAGCCTCATCAGTTTCTTGTGTCACTTTGAATTTTAAGGAAAGAGTAACTGATAATGTTGCTAACTGTCTTTTTAAGCACTTGAACAAACTCAAAACCATTTCAAAGTTGACTATTAGTATTCAGGGGGACCTGATGGGGGACAGAAAGAACACTCTTGAAAGGCTATTATGCAACCAAACATATCTATTTGCATTAAATGTTAGTGACTCATATTCAGGCGACAAGATTTGCAGAGAAGTTGGTTTATCTGCTGATGATTCCTCGTCACTTACACCTGTACTAACCAAAGTTAAGGATGGCTGTGTAACAAAGCTTAGTGTGAGCGTTAACAACCCTGACAGCATCAGTGGAGACTGGGGATCTACTCTCTGTGAGGGTTTGGCAAAAAGTGAGTCTTTAACTACATTGAGCCTGACATTAAACGACATTGCCTCTATTGAAAACATAGATGCTCTGTGGGATGCTGTGGCAAAAAACAAGTCATTTACAGCACTGAGCCTTACACTCAACAACTACAATTGTACGAGTGAACCCATGACCTGTGGTCTGAGTAATGGTTTGGCAAAAAACTCATCATTAACTACACTGAGCCTTACCTTAAACGACTGCTGGGTATGGGTGAGAATGGTGGCCAATGATCTGAGTGACGGTTTGGCAAAAAACACATCACTAACTACACTGAGTCTTACATTCAACATCCAGAGTGACTCGAATATCGACAATCATGTGATGGATTATCTGAGTGATGGGTTGGCAAAGAACACTTCACTAACTACACTGAGCCTTACAGTCAATAACTACTGTGACAGTGACTGGGAGGGTGGCATGATCTCTGATCTGAGTGAGGGGTTGACTGAAAACATGTCATTAACTACACTGATCCTTACACTCAACAACTACAGGGCCTTTGAGGGATGCATGATCTCTGGTCTGAGTGACGGGTTGATGAAAAACATGTCAATAACTACACTGATCCTTACACTCAACAATTTCAGTGACTTTAAGGGACACATGATCTCTGGTATGAGTAAACGGTTGACAAAAAACATGTCATTAACTACACTGATCCTTACACTCAACAACTACAGTGACTTTAAGGGAAGCATGATTTATGGTCTGAGTGACTGGTTGGCAAAAAACATGTCATTAACTACACTGAGCCTTGCAGTCAACAACTACAGTGACTTTAAAGGATACATGATCTATAATCCGAGTGACTGGTTGGCAAAATTCATATCATTAACTACACTGAGCCTTGCAATCAACAACTACTCTTCCTTTGATGGAGACCTGACCTATGGTCTAATTGATGGTTTGGCGAATATCAAGTCATTAACCACCCTTAGTCTTACACTCAACAACCACAGTTACAGGCCTAATTCATGTGTCTGTGCTCTGATGAATGCTTTGGTTAGAAATACATCATTAGTTACCTTGAACTTGACACTCAGTGACTACAATAACTTCTATGAAGACTGGATACATGAACTGGCCGATGCTTTGGCAAGAGACACATCTTTAACGTCAATTAGCCTGGAAGTAAATGTCTTCAGTGAAAGAAATTCAAACTCTGAGAGTTCTTCAGTTTAAAGAGCAGCACATTATTTATTATTTTTTCATGAATGGTGTGAGTATCAGAAGTACCTTTTAAATGTTTGATTAGTCTGTGATCACAGTTACCATATAGATGACTGTTGGAAACCTGATCTGGCTTTGGTTTGGTAAAGAGAGCAACATTAACTACAACTCTGCTAAACTAAACAAACTTTCAGTATTAATACAACTAGAAACAAGGGTCTCATTTTGAAGTTCTCCTGGTTCAAAACATGCTCGAACTTTAATGAGATGAAGAAGGTGGCTGGCTGGATGTGATCTGGAATTTTGGAAAAGGGATTAGAGTGACATGAACTTGTTTTAGTTCAAAAGGAGAACCAGCTGCTGTGCAGTGAGTGAAGACTGGTTTATTGATCTTGTTGTACACTCTGTGAAGCAGTGACTTTGACCACTCTGGGATTGAAAGGTAAGAGCAGCAGTAATGCAGGGACAATATTTTGAGGACACTTGGTAGAGTTTACTTGTAAGTGGTTCATTTCACTTTGATCAACAGTTAGCTAATGGAGAGTGTTCATTCTGTAGTTTTTATTANTGGAAATTAAAGACATCTCCTTTGTGTCTGCTCTTTCTTCCAACAAAAATTTTTGATTACAAGTGGGAAAGAAGATTGTATGCCAGCACCACAACCCACAAGATAACTGAAGAAAGAGAGAAAGTTTTATTTTCAATGAGTTCTCATCCCATTAACTTACAAATTTATTTGAATGTGTATTTATGCATTTTGTGTTGCTTAGATGAGGTTAAATTCTAGAATTTTTTCTCTACAAAGTACCTAGTTCTGCTTCATACAGATCTGTGAAATGTTTGGGTTTCGTTTAAAATCATACAGATCTGTGAAGTGTTTGGGTTTAGTTTAAAATTACAAAGCCATATTCTAAAAAGGTTATTTCACAATTTTAAGGGTAGTCAGCTTTTGACAGTGATAGTAGTGAAATGGAAACAAGTTTATCTCAAATGTTGTATATGAAACTTTACTTAAACCATTGGTTAGAAAGGTTAACAGAGATATACAAGTGTATAAATAGAAAATAAACTTACCACCTTCCAGGAACAATTTAATACATATGAGTTATTGACCAATTGTGAGGTCAAGATAGCTGGATATTGGCTGAGTTATTTTTTTTGCATTTTTGTCAACTGAGACAAAGTTGAGGTCCATAAAAACAAAAAAAGGAGGAGGCTAATCATCTGCTATCTTAACCAAACAAGCTTGGTCCAGTAAGGATTCATTATATGGGAAAAAGATTTCTTTTTATTATAAGAATCAAGAATTGCTTATTTATTTCAAGAGCCAAGAAAGAAAGCCAACTGTGTTTGTAGCTCAATAAACCCACAAGAGTTGTTTATGTTTCCTTTAAATTTGACTGTCTTCTGCTACTTTTTGCTTTTCTGTTCCTGAGAATATTAAAAAAATTATGAAACTTTGTAGGTTTGCTCCATGCTGTTCCACACAAGGATTGTCTTGTGCGAGATCAAAGTGGCTAATTCAGAGCGGGCAAGATGCACTCATCTTGCTTGCTCAGGTAGCCAATCAGGACATGGGCTTCAAATTACCCACATGCAAATTGACAGATAACCAAATTATTACTCCCAATTTCATCAGCAATTCTCAGTATTAATGATGAACTGTCTCTTTCATTTGTTGGAACATTCGTGGATGAGTGTCAGCATTCATTTAACCGCATTCCAAAATCGTACCCCTTTAACCCTCCAGGGATTATCCGACATACTTTCTAATCCACCGTCCCGTAGTCCATTGTCCACACATCGTTGGGAACTTAAATCATGTGACCAAGAGAAGTTACTACGCAACGTCATCCTCCCTCTTGATGCGGAAAAGTGGTCTCCGATGGAGTAGACTTTTAAGCAAGGGAGCTTTGCATCAATCATGGGTTGAGTTTCTTAGTTCTTTAGCTTGTAATCACGTCTTCGAGTGATTGGTTCATCTGAAAGGTTGTGGTCATAACTTTTAGAGGCTTTTAGCCATGGAAACCTGTATGTAGCAACAATCATGTACA